TCATTCATTATTTTACCTTTATGTTCCCAATTTACTATTACTCCTTCCAACCTCGCCTCCTATTCCTCCTCCTATCTACAAAATACTCTGCCGAACCTAGCCGTACCCTCGTAGTTACGGACCTCGCCGGTCGCTAGTATTTTATCAAAAATTTCCCGAACCTAGCCGTACCCTCGTAGTTACGGACCTCGCCGGTGTAATTCTTCGAACCTAGCCGTACCCTCGTAGTTACGGACCTCGCCGATAGCAATTACTAATTCAATTATTCCCTATATCCTCGAACCTAGCCGTACCCTCGTAGTTACGGACCTCGCCGAGAGATTTCAGTATTTTCCCCGAACCTAGCCGTACCCTCGTAGTTACGGACCTTATCTACTCATAATAATTTGTACAATAATTCATAATTTAGTTCACTTACATCAAACAGGTGTTTCACAAAATTAATTTGGATAAAGCCAATGTGCAGAACTTTAGTTATATAACAATAGGTGTCTGCTTACCTGTTTTTAGTTGTCCGGACTCTTTGTGAAACACACCGTCCAACGACAGCGAAGTCCAATCGGCCGGACAATTCCCAGCGAAGTCCCTCTACCAGATCACGTCGGGGTCACCAATTGTTAAGTTGCGTAATTCGAATCTGGTATCAGAACAGAATTTAACACTAAGTCACTGAATATATTCTCAGCTTTTTTATTAATATAATTAGTCAAGCGAATAAATGGTAAATGCAATTTTCGTATATACGGGTTCACTGTAACACCTCGCAGGGCAAAACAGAGAACTAACTGTCCCAACCCAAAGTTATTATTTTAATACTCTGACAGAGATAGTTCCCGTTCAAAGTGAGCCTGTCAGAGTAGAGGCTGTGCGTGGTTTAAACTTACTCAGCCTATCGTTGGCGCACAGGCTGGTCCCAGCCCTTGGCGCTTCACTGTTGCCGGGCATTAGTTGTTTTTTGCAACTTGTCTCGAGAGTCAGCAACCCTCAGACATAGTTTCCTCTTCTTCATTGTTGCAGTACACATGTCCTTGAGCGGTTTAACAAAGAGGCAGTGTGTGTGTGTGTCACAAGTCTATCTCAGCCTCCCCCCTAACGGTTCCTCACATTAGTCACAGCTTGTTATGTTACACAATCTATATCAGTACATCACAAACCTATTATGTTTAATCATTAATGTATTATTTTTAAGCTAGGCATCACATCTAATTATAAGAAAATAGATCCCAACAATATGTAAATTATAGTGGGTCTAGGGTTTCTGGGATGATGGTGTTGATGTGAGCCATGACCAGCTTTTCAATGCACTTCATGGCCACAGACGTGAGTGCTACGGTGCGGTAGTCATTTAGGCCGATTACCTTGCCGTTCTTGGGCACAAGTACTATGGTGGTCTGCTTGAAACATCTAGGCATTACAGACTCGGTCAGGAAGAGGTTGAAAATGTCAGTGAAGACACTTGCTAATTGGTCAGCGCATGCTCTGAGTACGCGTCCTAGTAATCCGTCTCGCCCTGCGGCCTTGAGAATGTTGACCTGTTTAAAGGTTGTACTCACATCAGCTAAGGAAAGCGTGATCACACAGTCGTCCGGAACAGCTGTTGCTCTCATGCATGGTTTATTGTTGCTTGCCTCGAAGTGAGCATAGAAGGCATTTAGCTCGTCTGGTAGGTTCGCATCACTGGGCAGCTCACGGCTGGGTTTCCCTTTGTAATCCACAATAGTTTGCAAGCCCTGCCAAATCCGACGAGCGTCAGAGCCTTGAAAGCGGCAGCTCTAGCCTTTAGCTCAGTGTGGATGTTGCCTGTAATCCATGGCTTCTGGTTGGGATATGTACGTACGGTCACTGTGGGGATGACGTCGTTGATGCACTTATTGATACTCCTCAATGCCATCGGTTGAATCCCGGAACATATTCCAGTCTGTGCTAGCAAAACAGTCCTGTAGCTTGGCATCCGCATCATCAGTCCCCTTCCGTATTGAGTGAGTCACTGGTACTTCCTGCTTGCGTTTTTGCTTGTAAGGAGGAATCAGGAGGATAGAATTATGGTCAGATTTGCTAAAAGGGCAAGGGAAAGCTTTGTACGCGTCTCTGTGTGTGGAGTAAAGGTGGTCTATAGTTTTTTCCCTCTGGTTGCACATGTAACATGCTGGTAGAAATTAGGTAAAACTGATTTAAGTTTTCCTGCATTAAAGTCCCTGGCCACTAGGAGTTCCGCTTCTGGGTGAGCATTCTCTTGTTTGCTTATGGCCTTATGCAGCTCGTTGAGTGCGGTCTTAGTGCCTGCATCGGTTTGTGGTGGTACATAGACAGCTACAAAAAATATAGATGAAAACTCTCTTGGTTAATAGTGTGGTCTACAGCTTATCAAAAAAAGTTACAAACATGCCGAAAAAACACACAGAATAGCGCAATTGGTTAGGAGGCTGTAAAACGGCAGCCATCCCCTCTGGCGCCATTACTCACCATTCCACAGGATCACCTCTCCAAAGTGTGCACAGTTCCTAATTTCAATGCACTTTTATGACTCAAAGAAGAGTCTTCAACTAACCTCTCCAAAGTGTGCACAATTCCTAAGTAATTTCAATGCACTTTTATGACTTAAAGAATAGTCTTCAACTAAATGGTGCTTTTTTCAGCTTTCCTAGCTTTGCCGTTGAGGAACTAGAGCAGGAGTCGGCAACAGGCAGTCTGCGGGACAAAACTGTCCCGCAAGTGTTGTTTTTTTGGCCCCCATTTTAGTTATTGGTGAAAAAAGTCTAAAATCACCAGGAATTCAGCTAGAAATTAGTTTTATTTAGAAAATCTGTTCACCAAGTATTCCCACTAATAAAAAAAGAGAGATCGCATCTCAATATAATCAAGGTATGAAATTATATACAATCTCTGTTTTGGGGCTTAGCTGTGGTCACTTTGCACTGTACAAATTATTATAATTATGTTCCGGCCCCCTGACCATCCACTCTGACAAAAATTGGCCCGCTGAATCTAGTTGCCTACCCCTGAACTAGAGCAAGCAGACTTGTAGTTGTTTTGTTTGGAACACAACCCTGTATCCCCGCCATCACACAATTACTGTTGTTGTTTTACTCAATCCAAAAACGGCCCATTATAAATCGCAATCTGAGTCAGGTGGGCATCATTTGAAAGCTTGTTCTATTGCCAACATGACTAGCTAATTTATAAAATATGATCTTATAGTATTATGCTTTCACAAGGCAATTCAGAGAAACAGATAGTAATTTTGATGGACTCAGGTACGTGTTTCGCTGTGAATTTTCTTCACAATAAACAAACATAGACTCATTCTGTTCAGAACAACCCAGGGTATAACGCCATACCATCTTGTAACTGTACATCAAACATAGTGATCATAAACCTTTACAATATATATGACATGAGTTTTATGATATGGAAATGTGAAGTGCACATTTGGACTCACGGGTGGTTGGCTTGCTTGTATGACATCAAAGCGGTATTTATTATAATCCTCTACATCTCATCTTTCAAAATACATTAATTTACAGCATTTCCCTCGTTAAGACAACAAAATATTTGCAAAAGTACCCCAATTAGCGGGAGGGATGGGGCAACTTCTTGTCGCATGCGGTGCTCAAGTTCAGAACGGCTGTCAGTCAAAACCCATACAGTGCTGTGTAGCGCAGAGCCAGAGCTCTGACGTCATGTATAGCATGTTACCATACAGCCACTGCGTTCCAATTTAGGCGCTTATCAGTGTCTAAATCTGACATTTTCAACCCGTATAGGGGTACCAGTGTAAAGGGTTAATTATAGCATGTGGGGCAGTCTGTGGTGCCATCTGTAGATTATGGTGTGTGTTGCCGTTTTAATTACGGCATATCTGAGGCCAAATGGGAGTCACATTTTCCTTTTGTATGTTTAGCTCCCAGTCTAGACCCTCAGCTTCTACAATCAAATTTGGAAACTGATCAAAATGTGTGGCATATGATTGGTCAATTTCTTTTTTGACTTCCATGCCAAAAGGCAATGAATGCTTTTTGAAAATCAATGGTCAGTGAATTACTAAGCCAACGAAAGCCACAAGGCTCCATCCAGAATCTGAGAATCGATAAAAAAGTGTAATCAGAAAGACTGGCCCGGTTACTGAGTCGTAGTGGGGGGCTTTCAGTCCTGCCACTCTCCTACACAATACCAGAGCTCTCTCTGCTACAGCCTCATCCACAACACTCCATTTCAGTCTGACAGCACTGATTACACAAAGCCCCTTCACAGAGTTGAACGGAATGACCTTCATTTCAGTATCCCCTTCCTACCTTCAGATATAGCCACAGAAATAGGAGAAACGGGGGGAAACCCCTGAGCAAAAAAATCTCCAATACTATCGAGCATAAGAAACTTCATGAAAGTCTATCAGACTAGTTGGACAGTGAATTCGCTGTATCTGATTATGTGTATCGACCTCGCGGCTCTATGTAACCCCTGAAACCCATCTCACATCACTGGTAGTTTGGCCGAGTCACGATTTGCGGGAAATCAATCAACAGATATAAGCCGCCATCACCGCGGTGATGGATATGCAATTTTCGTCCTCAAAAGCTGAACTGGATCAGAGGGGAATTTGTTTTATTCTCTTCCTCTGTTTATTCCTTCCAAACAACTCTGAGAGCTCGAAGAATGTATGATGAATATGTATGACCATATGTGTGTAACGAAGTAAAGAATGCACTCTAAACTCACTCTACAGCTTAAAATGTCGCCGATGGAACTATTACATCAGATCCTTTTGTACAGCTCAATCGGTTCGTACGTTGGCAAGTGGGCGCTCTCAAGTGTTGGAGAGGTACACAGCAAAAATTGGAGTGTTGAAATTTCAGGGTTAAACATTTCCGAGTTGATTTTCACTCCCAGAGTGTAATTTTAACACATTCTGATTTAAATGGTGTTCAGTGTTGGAGTTATTTGAAAGAGTTGATCCGGTCAGTGTTAACCCAACTCCGCAGAGATGTAATTAAGCTCCGTCCATGCATTTCACTTCTTCGGTTGGAGACAGAGGAGACAAGTCGGCGCCATTTTCTCCCTCCCATGCAGTACTACACGGTAAGTGCAATTAACTCAAACTTACTGAAACAATTATAAATTGATGCTGAGAATTTCAGTATGAACAATGAAACATCTACAGAGAATATATGCCTAACAAAACCGTGTTTGTTGCCAGGACTGAGCAGCAAATTTGTCCTGGTGATTATCTAGCTAGAAGTGTATGGTAAGCTAGCTAACAGTTTGTTACTTAAATCGTCTCCAACTTTATCAATGATGATTTAATGAAGGAAAAACAAAGCATTATGTTTTTTTACTGTATAAAATCTTGTTTGAGGCTGGAGCTAACGTCTTTTTTCCCCCCTTCACTTTGAACATCAAAGGGGCCGCAAAAAACATGTCCCAACATGCAGAGGGTGTTTCATGTGTTTAGTTGTCTGTGTGACCAGCCTACCACTGTATTTGGTGACCAATCAGATTCTATGACCTGCAGAGTTGGAAAAAGTACTCAGATCATTTACTTAAGTAAAATTATATAAGTATTACCAGTTAATTGTACTGAAATTACTAAGTTAAAGCTAAAGTACAAAATTAGCAGAAAATCGGGCTGTGACTGTGAGTGAATTAAACATTTATTAAACATTTAAGTGCATCATTAAATACTGATGAGTCAATGCATAAGCAGCATTTTAATATCTCAGTCACAGCGCGATTTTCTGAAAATTTGTACTTTTTCCAACAGTGCAGGTCACAGAATCTGATGGGTCACCAAAAATGGTGTAACACTGTCGATTTAGCTTTAATCTTTACAGTTCTTCCTTTAAATGTTTATTTACTTTGTCAAACTTCCTTGCATGTCTCAGTCAAAATGCTGGTCCAGGTGAAGTACAGCCAACAGCAGAAATATGTGAAGCTGGATGAGGATGAAGGACGATTTGACTTTATGCAATTCCATGAAAACGGTTAGCATGGCTTAGGAAAACGGTTTTAAACCACACCCATGTTCTTTTAAAAGCTCATTGTGCAAGCTTCTTAATGTTGTCGATTCTGATTTATTTACATGCCTTTATCAGACTCTATTATACGGTAAATGGGGTTAAATTGTTAATCATTTTCAGTTCTGTAATGTGTGCTTCATAGAGTGTAAAGTATTAATATACACCAAACAGTCAATAAAAAAAGCCAATCATCAATTTTTAAATTTGGACTTAAGAGGGAATGGGTTATGTGAGGGAAAATGCTCTAGGTCTATTTAAGGATTATACAGTGGTGGATGTATGTATTTAACGTGAACAGTTATTGGCTGTGAGGCAAGAAACAGTGCTGACTTCAAAGGCACATTCAGTTTGACCTTACTATCTTTCTCCAGTCATCGAGAGATTTTGCCTGCCACCTGATGCAAAAGTTATATACAAGGATGCAACAGGGACAGAAGTTGATGCAGAAATATTCAGCGACCTCGTTGGACAAGGCAATGTGGTGCTGACAGTATTCTCAGATCAGGGTTGAGATATCAAGGCAGGTATAATAAAGCACTTTACACCTTACATAATATAATTATTTGCATTTTTTCTATTCCTTTAGAATTCTCTGATTTCTCCTTGTCTTCTGCTTCTGAGACGTCTGACTCAAGCATCAGCTCAAGTGCATCAACTATAATCCTAGATGATGTCCCTAGCAAGAGACAAAGAATTGAGGATACACGTGATGCTGTGTCTACTGAACAGGTTTCTTAATGCTTTCACATTTTTTCACTCTGAGTCTCTAGAAAAGCTATTTATCACCATGTTTTGTATTCCAATGTTTTTGTTTTTTATTAGTTGATTGAAGCTGTGCTAAGAGGCAAGTCTGGGGGTGAAGAAGTACTACAGGAGTACCAAACAACAGAAACCCTAACAGATGCTGCAAGAAGAAAAATGGTTAACATCCTGGTGGCTCACATGATTGACAATCATGGGTATGTTTGTTTCACATTGTTTTTATTTGTGCCAAATAACTGCATGGCCATTGCATAAATGTACTAATTTAATATCTCCTCTCAGGCACCGCCCCACTAAAGCAATCAGAGAAGATTATGCACGTGGGATAGTGATGTTGTTCCCTTCCCTCAAGGATCCATACTCCAATAGGCATTATTATTGTTAACTCTTTCATGTCATGTTGTGACACACAACTCTGTGGACGACATTGATATTTGAATTCGGTGAGATTTCACATGAGCCTGGTATGACAACGCATTTATTTTATTATTTTCATTTCAGGAACACTTCTATGATGCTGCAAGCAGCACAGGATACATTTCTTGGCGTCTGAAAACAGTCCAGAGGATGATTCGTTGAGGATCTGCACTGCCACCAAATAGCCCAATTGACTTTTCTCCAGGGGGCCCAAATTTCCAAAGGACTGTTAATGTTGAAAGGCAGCTTGATGGTGATGCTTGCCAAGAGGCCATGTCTTTGCTCAACCATACCACAGACAATTCCCTGATTTTCCAGAAGATGAGAGAGACCTTTCAGCACCGTCAGAAGCTCGTTAATGACCAAGGCAGAAGTGTTGATATCCTCTCCAGCTTTCCAAGATTCCTGGATACAAAAGGATTGGTAAGTTTGGGATGAGATGTTTAGAATGGCTTGAAATTTGAAAGTATTTCCTGAAGTAGTAGTAGTAGTACTTTAATATATTCTTTCTTAAAGGTGGACCAAGACTTCACTCTCCTATTTGATGACGACACATCCTCCAGGCTTCTTCAGAAATGGGATTTGTTCTTCAAGCCAAATGTCATAAAAGAGGCTAAGCGGCTCACCTCAACACCAGAGTTGCGTCGCTTGGTGCAGTCAGCAGAAAGTCCCCCAGGAAGTGATCTTGATGAGGCAACAAGTGTTTTTTATTTTATTTTTATTTTAATAAATTTGCTATAATTGCAGTTAAACTATAACTGCAATAATATTTCATTTGTTTATTCTGTGTATCTCTGAATGTTGATCTGATTTTTGGGATAAATGTGACTAATAGATAGATGAGGGTTTAAAACGTTCTCATAATGCCTCCCTGTTCTCATTCAAACTTGAAAAGTATTACATTTGAAGAGTTTTCAGTTCATTCTTGTGACTCTTTGTCCTCAGCCTACGACCAAGAAATGGCTTCCCTGTTGTTGCTGTTACATCTCCTTCCACCACCTCCAGGGGGACTGAAGTCTCCAAAAATTAGTGCATGTGATGCAGTTGAGAGACTTGTTGTCTTTCATAAGGTAATGATATTATTAAGGTGATTATAATAATTTGTCACGTCACCTTCTTAGCCACATATGTAAATGAGGGTTGTTAAAAAGTCGATGGAATTGTAATTAAGTCTTCATTCCCATCTTGCACTAGCCAATGAAAAGATGTTTGAATAATCACTTCTATAATGTAGTTTTCTCTGTGGCTGCACATTATTCTTGTGTCTAATTTTCAGTTTTCTGATCTCAACCCTAGTCATGCTGCAGTTTGGAGGAGCATCTCCGCAACCAGCAGGGTCGGCAGCCGTACCTCCTCGCTGTTGGGCGTCAGAAGAGCAAGATTGAGAGCTTCTACATCACAATGGATAAGCGTCTCATCCCATGCAAGCAAACCGAACTTTTCAAAGCACATTTTGTGTTTAATATGTGGCACTTGTGAATTTGTACACATTCCTTCAGACAACAGTGTATAACATTGATGTGGGGAAAATGAAGGAGTCACCCAGAGTTAAAGACTTGAGAGCGAGACTGCTTAACCAGCCAGTAGCACTCTCACCCTGTGAGTAAGAAGCTATAACAATGTTGACCTGTTTCATGTGTCAGAAATATTATCCCAGCAGTCAACAGTTGATTTCACATTTAAGAGTTGAACATGGTTACTATCCTGGACCCAAGTTCAAATTGTTTTGTTCTCAGCAAGGCTGTAGGCATCAGTTCCTAACATATACAGGTTTTCGGAAGCACCTTAATAGTGTTCATAGTAATGTTCAGCAAATTGCTCAAACTTCAACTGTTGCATGTTCATCTAGTGAGCCAGTTGCAACTTCCTCTCAGGCACATGCTTTGGAGGACACATTTAATCCACAAAATCAATGTAGCTCTTCCAGTGTTTATTCTGAGAGCAATGATTCAGGACTTACTAAAGATTCAACTAAAGAAATGTGTGCATCCATCGTGGCCAAATTACAGGGGAGTGGGATTTCCAACAGTTTGGTCACAATTGTAGGAGATTTGGAAGAACTAACAATTGAGATTCGCTCACAAGCAAAGCATACAGCTTTTTCTGCTTTACCTATAACTGACCCCAACATATCTGTGATAAATGAATCTTTTGAAGATTATAAAAACCAGTTCACAAATCTAAATACAGAATGAAACAAAATAAATACTTCCACCAAAAATGGGGAGTTGTCGAGCCAGTAGAAATAACACTGGGAGTGAGATATGACAACAGGCGAAATCAGAAATCCGGTACTTATGATCAAGTACCTGTGAAGGATACTTTTACATATGTGCCGATTTTAGAAACATTGAAGTTCATGTGCAGAAATCCAGACATTTGTGTTTTGCTAAAGAAAGAGTGTAGATCAGAGCCTGACACTTATACTGACTTTTTTGATGGAAGTTATTTTAAAACCTACCCTTTGTTTACAGCTAATAGACATGCATTACAAATCCAACTATACTATAATGATTTTGAAACAGCCAATCCCCTTGGCTCCAAACGTGGAATTCACAAAATTGTCTCTCTTTATTTTGTTGTAAGAAACTTTCCCCCAAAATGTAATTCAGTTTTGATGAACATTCATTTGGTAACACTTTTTCACACACAAGATCTGCACAAGTATGGTTTTGATGTTATACTAGAACCGTTGATAAATGATTTGAAAAAACTAGAAAGCCAAGGGCTAAGTCTTCCATTTTCAGATGAGCAGGTATATGGTACAATCTGTCAGATCACTGGAGATCATCTCGGGATGCACACACTTCTTGGTTTTAATGAGTCATTCAGTCGTCATTTCTGTTGCCATTGTTTGATTGAGAAGAATGATTGTCAAACGGTATACAGTGAGGATGATCCTAAGGTGATCCTTCGTGGAAAAGATATGTTTGAAATGCATTGCCAGTCTCTCCAGGAAAACCCACAATTGAAGTCACTTTATGGTTTGAAAAAAAGATCTACACTTAATTCGTTGAAGTATTTCCATGTTTGTAATAACTATTCATTTGATATCATGCATGATCTTCTTGAGGGTGTGGTTCAGTATGAGATCAAATTGCTTTTTGGATATCTCACACAACACTTTATGTCAGAACAGGACTTGCTTTCCAGGATTTATGGTTTTGATTATGGATTTTTAGAACGAAAAAATCGTCATACAAAGATTATTTTGGAGAGTGTTGGCAATGGCATTGGTTTGAATTCTATTCAGACATTGTGTCTTGTGAAAAACATCCCACTGTTGTTTGGTGACATTATTCCTGCACGAAACAAAAACTGGAATTTGTTACTGTTGTTACTTCAAATGATGAACATCGTTTTTTCACCTTCTCTCACTCTAGGTATGACAATATATTTAAAGCATTTGATTGTTGACCACCACAAACTATTTAAGCACTTGTATCCACATAGAAACTTGATACCTAAGCATCATTTTATGATCAATTACCCATCTTCTATAAGGAAAATTGGCCCCTTATTATATACGTGGTGTATGAGGTTTGAGGCCAAACACAAGCTGTTTAAAGATTGTTTTAAAAATGTCCAAAACATAACCAAATTGCTTGCTAAAAAGCATCAGATGGCCATTGCTTATCACTGGGAAACCTTCACCCTCAAACAAAATGAGTATGGGCCAATTAAATATTTTCTCTTCAGAGATGAGAATGTCGTCAACAATGAAATGCTTGAAACGATCTTGTCAAAATATGTTTTCTCAACTAGTTGGGTTAAAGTTGATGGTGTAGAGTATAAAGCTGGACTAGTTATTTGCAGTGCAATGGAAGAAGACATGCCAGTCTTTTGTCAAATAAGTGATGTACTTTTGGTTGAAGATAAAAAAATTTTTTGTTGACAAACAAGCTATTTACAGACAATTTTGACGACCATCATCATGCATTCAGAGTATTAAGAAGTGCGGAAAAATGTCTAAAAATGTCTGAGCTTAAATTTCATAAACCATTTGATATTCAAAGCTCATACAATGTTTCAGATGAAAGTATGTACATTATACCTTCATTCACAATGTTTTAATTCAACTGACTGCAAGGGAGAAAAGGCACAAATAAATGTTTTTGACAATGATTGTTTATTGTGATTAATTCTTATTAATATAAGTATATATTAAATTAATTAATAAATAATATTGAATAAATTAACAATTAATTTTTACATTTTTTCAGTGTAGATAATTGACACTTTAGGGAGTGAAATTAACACTACACAAATAGTTTTAAAAAATTTAACTTGGAGCAGTGTTAGTTGTCTAATCCCTTAGTGTTACTTTAACTCTGGCAGAGTGTTAAATGTTTAACTATTTTGAAAGTGTTAATTTAACTCTGGAGAGTGTGGACCTATATAAACCCTCAAAAAGTGTTGAAATCAACTCTGTGGGAGTCAACATTTGACTTTTTGCTGTGTAGAGGACCCTGGTTCAAGCCCAGTCAGAACCAAGTTTAGGGAGGCAGCGCTATATGTTAAGATAGCACACAGATAGATGTTGGTTATATCTGTAAAGAAGTGCATCATTCACGCTGTTCGTTCAATGGCTCTGCCATCTTACAGTATGTGGGCTAGACAGTTCCAGACTGATAGAGCTACTTTTCTCATTACCACAATGGCTTGAATTCCTTTGGAGCTAAAATATCTTCGTAGACATGTTCTGAAAGGAAAACATCAATTCATGCACACCGCGGTACTTCTTTTGTCTACTATATTCTTGGATAATAGATAGAATGTTCCATAATTTCTGTCATCCTTAACCTTTTTTAAAATCACATTTTGGGTAATACACAAAGTGTACAAAACATTAAGAACACCTTCCTAATATTGAGTTTCCATATGTTTGATACTGTTCCATTTATTCCATTCCAGCCATTACAATGAGCCTGTCCTGCTATAGCTCCTCCCACCAGCCTCCACTGGTTCAAAGGCACTTCAAACTTTTGTCTTGCCCATTCACCCTCTGAATGGCACACATACACAATCCATGTCTTAATTGTCTGAAGGCTTAAAAATCCTTCTTTAACCTGTCTCCTCTCCTTCATCTACACTGATTGAAGTGGATTTAACAAGTGACATCAATAAGGGATCATAGCTTTCACTTGGATTCACCT